TACCAATGCAGACCAAGAGACAAGGGTTTGATCCCTAGGTGGGGAACACCCTATGGAGAAGGAAATGACAGCCCATTCTAGTTTTCCAGCCTTGGAAATCCTATGGACAGAGAAGCCTGGCTACAGGCTATAGAATCGCAAAGAGTTGGACACAACTTAGCGACTCAACAATGTAAACAACAGGAGAGAGCTATCTTTCCTTTTATAAATATCCCAAGCACCAACATCTCTATTGTACCTAGATTTTCAATGAATTTATGTATTGAATGAATGCAGTTTTCTTTAGGCTCTTCTATAAGAAATTTAAAGACAAAATTTCATCAATATTTAAAAGGAAATATGATAATTACAATGAACTGCAGCATAATTTATAAGTCACAATGCTTTAAGAGAAAGCAGTAAGCAAGTCCTAAACTGAAAATTACTAAAAGTTTTCATTCACACTTAATCCTGTATCCAAAGAAATTCTAATAACGTGCCAGTGCTCAGCCATGTTCGACTCTTTGTGACCCCATAGATTGTAGCCCATCAGACTCCACTGTCCATGGGATTTCCCAGGCAAGAATACTGAAGAGGGTTGCCATTTCCTCCTTCAGGAGATCTTCCCAACTCAGGGATCAAACCCACTGTCTCCTGTGTCTCCTAGCATTGCTGGCAGATTCTTTACCTACTGAGGTATCGAGGAAGCCCATTATTTAGAGTATGGAATACAATAATAGGACTGTAAACTTGTATCTATGTCTATGTACATACACACACACATATTTCTTTTTTAAAATTGGGGAATGGAATGTGGAACAGAAAGAGATAAGGTTTAACCAGTGATAAGTCCCAAACGTACTATGAAATTACAAAAAAAAAAGTTACCAAAAAATACTTCGGTCATAACCATAGCAGCTGATTAAAAAATACTTTGAGATGAACGAGGAAGGTTAACCAAAAACAAGTTTTAGAATAAGGTCCTCAAGACTGTCATTCCTCTAATGAGAGAGAATCATCAGCACATGGTTATACTATGTGTCCTCATTAGTATTAACAATTTTCAAGACATTTTCACATACATTATTAAATCCTCAGAGACACTAAATTCCAAGATAAACAGATAACAAAAGCACTAAATTGTGTATGCACTTGACAGTAAATCCAACTTTTCCCTTGAAAATCCCCCAAAGTTCAACAACCTACAAAGAAACCATTTTATAAAAGCGCCACCTCTTTAACACACAAGTCTTCTGAAGAGTATTATGGCACAGCCAAAAAGCATAAAAACTTGAAGCCCTTTGATCCAGTAAAACCACTCCTGGGAACCTTCTTTAAGAAAATAATTAGACCAAGGCAAAAAGCTGTTAATAAAAAGATGCTTATTGCACTGCTATCTACAATAGCAAAAAATGTGGAAGACCAAATCCCCACAACAGAATGGTTACGCAAAAACTTAAGAAAATCCATAATGTGGTGTTAAAGAAGAAAAGAGCTGAATACAAAATAACATACACAATTACTAAAACTACATAAAAATCAAAGTGGCAAAAATAAGAATTGGATTAAGGTAAAATTATAATCGAACTTTCTAAGAGAAAACAGCTACCTTTAAAACATATGACAAAGAGAATTTTTGAAAGCCACGAAAATCCACTATTTACAACAGAAAAAAAGGTCAAATATGATGAAATGTAGTACTATTTAAAGCAGACATGTGAATTTCTAGACTTTCAAGACTATTCTACTGTCTCTAAACATATCAAACCCAAAGCTGCATTTTTTTTAAAATTCACCTTTGGTCCCAGAAACACATTTTAACTGCTGATACACACTAGTGTAACTGAAGAAACTCTAGAAATTGTCATTCGTTTACAAAGACATCAGTAACAGTGATTCAATTTTGAAAGGAATTCTACAAGTACATTAAACATGTAAATGTACAAAATTTCACACTATATGAATTCAACTCATTAAATGAAACGTCACACATTTATCAAAAAAAAATAAGGGCTACAATTCATGCCTCAAATAAAAGAACTTAAAACAAGAATCTAAAACTTAAATGTGTATAAAGTCTCAAGGAACAAAAAAAGATCTGTAGTAGGAAAACATTTCAAATATTTTTGATCACTCAAGCCACTCTTGAACAAATTCTTCGTTATAATTTTTAAGCCTAAGGAAAGAAAGTATATGCAACCTAAGTTTTACTTTTTAATTATTTGAACAAGTTGAATACATCTGCCAGATTCCTGTGTTTTTTTTTTAAGATTCTTGATGTGGATCATTTTTAAAGTCTTTATTTAATTGGTTACAACATTGCTTCTGTTTTTTGTTTTGGTTTTTTTGGCCCCAAGGCATTGTGGGATCTCAGCCCCCCCAACCAGGGATGGAGCCTGCACCCCCTGCATTGAAGGTTAAGTCTTAACCACTGGACCACCAGGGAAATCCCGATTCCTACCTGATCCCAAGAAGGAAAAAACAGTGCACCCCTTTTTTATAAAAATTATGTTTAAATTTTTTTTTCCTCTCTCTCCATGGATGCCACAGAAAATGGGGAACTGAAGTTACAGAATCCTACATGGACAGAACTGGGAAAATAAGCATTTTCCCCCACTTTTTTAAACTAGTTTTGATAGGAAGCATCTGTAGATGCTTCAAAGGAGAAACTGGAAGGACGGTGGTTGGTAGGGTAGAAAGCAAGTAAATCAATGTTCCCGATTGCCCCACACGGAGGCAGAATTCCTTAAAAAATCAGCTCCGAATCATCTTGATGGGATAACTTCTGCCACAAATGAAAATTGTTTGGAAATGGACTACTAAAAACCTTTTTTCAAAAAGAAAACTCTGCATGAAAAAATCCCCTTATCCCACCTTTTAAAGCCAGGAGATCTAAAGAGGACCCTTATCACCGAGCCTGCCAACCCCGCCTAGGCCTAAGGGACGCATGGCAGTACCGGCAACATGGATGGGACACAGGGGAAATGGACTTGCGTGCCCTTGGTGAGCTCTGGCGGCACTCCCCAAGTTAAGGACACTGGCCACAATGGAATGGAGTCTATTGACATTTGCTACTCCGTTTGAACACTAAGCATCTTCTTAGTTCATGAAATACGAACTGACAACCCCCCCCCCCTCCCCGACATACACACACACCGTCCAGAGCCAGACCCAGGTCACTGAGACAACGCTGAGCCCCCAGAATGTACCACAAACCTGGGTCATGGTGGGGAGTGGGGAAGACCAAGCAAGTAAACACCCGCATTTCTGCCTTCCGGAACCCCACCGTATCTCCTACTGCGATTCCTCTCCTCTTGAAATTTATAAATTGGGGCAAGGGTTGAGGAAAAATACACAGCGTGCCCGCGCCATGACGCCGCCGCCGCCACCACCCCCTCGGTCCCTAGCCCGGCCCTCGCCCACCACTATTCAAAGGCGCCTTCTCCGCGGCCTCGGAACAGCAATGCGGCTCAGCCACCACCCGCGCCGGAGAGGCCTTGCGGGGGAAGGAGGGAGGCCTGGAGGGGGCCGGGCACTCCCCAGCCCTTCCTTAGGTGGGGGAAGGCGGGACGCTGCGGGAGACTGCACTGAGCCCCACGATTTCAGAGCAGCTCCGGAGCCCCCGGCCGCCGCCTTAGACTTAAATGGGGAAGGGTGGGGGGGTCTCTGTCCACTCACCTCAACCCGGTCCTTCGATCTCTCCTTGAGCTGGGAAGCGGGTGGGTGAGAAGACTGGACAGATCCTAATGATTCCAGATAAGCCCGCGGCTGCCCCTTTAACAGGCCGGGGGGGGGGGGGGACGACGACGCTGCCCTAACTTTCCCCCCTCCCTCGTTATTCCCAAACGGGGGAGTTGGCAAGTTTCGGCAGATAACCTAAAGAACCTTCCATGTTAACATTTAAAGGGGATGGGAGCTGTGCCCAAGCATCCCCCCGTTGGGGGCGGAGGAGCCTTAAAGAAGGTGATCAAGGGCTGACAATCGCCGAGACCTGTGAACCCCTCCCAAACACTTAAATGGAGAAGGGGAGGCTGCCCAGTCCTTCCATCTTGACCGTTTGGCGGAAGGGGGTGGGGATGTTGCAAGAGCCTGGACAACGCCATTCCCAGAGGGATCCCGCGGCGCCCCCTCACCCGACCCCCCCCCCCAGGCTCCAGACGGGAGCCCCACCCCCACTGCAGGCCCCCAGTCCCGCCGGTCACGGGGCGGGGACCGCGGTGCGGCCGCGGGGGAGGGGACGTCAGGCCCGAGCTGCTCCAGGCCCCGAGCCGAGGCGCGACACCCACCTGCCCAGGCCCGGCCGCCCGCCGCCTGCGCTAGTCGCCGCCACTGAGGACGAGGAGGAGGAAGAAGCCGCGGCCGAGGACGACGAGACTGAGGACGGCGCGGCGGCCGGCGACGTGAGAAGGCCGCCGCCGCCGCCAGGCTTGCGGGCATTGGCGGCCGCGGGCTGCGGCTGCGGCTGCGGCTGCTGCTGTTGCTGATGAGGCTTCAGCGACATGGTGAGGGGCCCATACACCGGCCCGCACGCCGGGCGGGGACTGCCGGGAGCCGGGCGCGCCGAGGAGAAGCCGGAGCGCGGCGGGGACGCGCGGGCACCGAGCGGGGAGGCGCGGGTTGGAGCGGCCGGGGGGGCGCCCGAACCGGCGAGGGGGAGCAGGAGGACGACGAACGGGCGGGGAGGCCCGCCGAAACCGAGAAGTCGCCGGGAGCCGGGCCGGGCCGCGCCGCCGCCGTTGCTACCAAAACAGTCTGAGGAGGAGGGAGGCGAGCGCTGCCCGGAGGGAGGGGGGCCGGGGCCGGGCGGGGGAGGGGCGGCGGATGGATACGGCCCCGGAGCCCCGCCGCCGCCGCCGCCCCGCCGCGCCGGCCGCGGGAGCGAGCGCCGCCCGGGCCACCTGTCCGCGGCGAAGCGACGAGGCTCGATAGCCGCCGCGGGGCCCCGAGGAGCTGCGGCCGTCGGGCGCATCGGGGGTCGGGCACAGAGGTGCCGCGTGGCGATGCCAGGTGGGCGCGGAGGTATGGAGTGGGGACTCTTTACCGGAAGTCGGAAGGGTCGGACGGAAGCAGAACGTGAGGCGGCCCCGGGCCGGGAGGGACACGTGAGGAGCGGGCGCCGCGCTGGGCCGCGTTCGCGGGGGTCGGGTGAGGCCCCGACCGCCGGCCCTACCCGGATCCGCCTTCCTCGAGGCGGGTCTGCCCTTCGGAGAGGGCGTGTCTGTCTTCGCCAGAAGGGCCGGCCTAGTATAGAGGACCGAAGCAAAGCGTTTCTGCCCCGCCCCCCTCAAGCGTTCAACGTTCTTAGACTGCTAGGAAAATCCGTGTTTGGCCCCACCTGATGCAACCTCGAAGATGGACTGCGAGTGTCTTCAGGACGAGACCGTCTTGCTACATATAAATCAGCTTGGACACAAGCATGCCATAGTTTTCTTTGTATCCCCGGCACCTCACACACGGTAGGCTCTCACTGTGTCAGCCGGGTGTCAAAGACAGGCCGTCGTGTCTTTCCTTGCCAAGACCTACAGGATTGGAATCGAACAACCTCCAGGGGCCACCCACATCTGGTTACCTTTTCCCCACTTTTTCAACCCCAGCAACACTAACCAGAAAACTCTCTTGGGTATCTGACCTTCATTTGAACCCAGTTTCCCTCACTTGAACTTCTTTTTCCTCATTGATGAGACTCAAAAGGAAATTGTACATGATTGGTAGAGCTATGGATAATGGGGTCTCTTTCGGTGTAGACAGAACAGACCTCACAAAAATGTGCGAACTTTAGACCTTGGCCCCTTTAGAGGTTTTACTTTAACTTAGTCTGGTAGCCAGCACAGTAGTCCCTGTTTCTTTTGTTTCTTTCTTTTTGTTTTCTAATGCGTTTCAATTAAACTGGAAGCAGTAAATAACTTTTAGGGGAGAGTGACTAAAAACTTTTTAGTTTTTTAAGAAGTGAAATTACTTTAGGAAATGGTAGGGAAGAAACACCAAAGTTTACCTCAGTCTTCCGGAATTGTCAGATAAAGGTAAAGATATTTAAAAAAAATTTAGAAAATTATTAAGCCGTGAACTTCCAGTAGCCAAATTGAAATTAATCTCGTAGGTGGGGCAAAAGTGGTTATCATATTCTGCAAACGTGAAAAGTTGGGATATCAATTTTATCTTCCATCTGAGGTAAAAAGGAGGTTGAGAGAGGAAAGAGCATTTTTTTAAACTAACAGTTGCAAAATCCTTTAAAAATTAAACCAAAGGAAACAGACTAAAAAGCCGGATTGGGGGTGGGGGTGGGGGGGAGACCATAATTGAAATACAGTCAACTTTCTCTGGTTTAATGATTTGACAATTAGCCATATCTGAGACCAAGGTCCCAAACTTCAATGTTAGGACCAAATTCCAGACATATGGGAGCAAAAAAGAAAGCGGAATAAGAATACCTGAAGCTGAGATAGCTGAACTTGATTTCATTTATGCTGAGAAAGCTCAGGTTTTCTTCTATTACTATTAAAACTGTATCTTAATGGTTTTATTGAAGTGTGATTTACATACTATAAAATTTGCCAATTCACTGATTCTCAGTAATTTACACAGTTATACCACCGTCACAGTTAATTTCGGAGCATTTCCATCTCCCAAGGGTCCTTTATACTGGGTACTCCTGATTCCCATTCTCAGCACAAGCAGCCACTAATCTACTTTCTGTCTTTATCTACTGTGTACATTTCATATAAAGGGAATTTTACAGAAAGTGTTTTTTGCCTTCTTTCACTTGACTGTTTTTGAGGCTTATCCACATCATAGTATATATAAGGTTTTTATTCTTTATTATCACTGAGTCGTAATCCATGGTATGGATATACAGTTGGTCCTCCATATCCACAGGATTCATGCATCCTTGGATTCAATCAACCATGGATTGAAAGAAATTTTTTTTTACAGGTTTTCTTGGCTGTGCCATGTGGCTTGTGCGATCTTAGTTCCCTGACCAGGCCCTGGCAGCGAAAGGGCCAAGCCCTTACCATTGGATTGCTAGGGAATCCCGCCTCCAACCAGAAAAAAAAATTTTTTTTAACTCCTGAAAGTTCCAAAAAGCAAAACTTGAATTGGCCAACTCTGGCAACTATTGCCTTAACATTCACATTGTATTAGGTATTATAAGTAATCAAAAGGTGATTTAAAGTATACAGAAGTCTGTATTATAGGTTATATGCAGTGCTCGCTTCGGCAGCACCTATACTATAGGTTATATGCAAATACCACAGCATTTTATATAGGGGACTTGAGCATGCTTTGGTTTTGATATCCATATGGTTCCAGGAACCAATCCCCTGAGGATACTGAAGGATGATTGTACCACATTTTGTGTATCTACTCACTAGTTGGTGGACATTTTGATTGTTTCAAGTTTGGGGCTATTATAAATAATACTGCTATGAACATTTGTAAACATATGTCTTCATGTGGACATATGTTTTTACTTCTCTTGAGCAGGTGCCTAGTAATGGAATGTTGGGTGAAATAATAAATTTAAATTTTTAAATTTATTCTTTTAAAGGTAACTGTCATACCCTTCCTCAAAGTGACTGTGCCATTTTACATCCACATCTGCAATGTTTGAGAGTTCATCATGAAAATTTGATTTATTGGGAGTTCCCTGGTAGCCTAGTGGTTAGAATTCCCGGCTTTCTCTGCCTTGGGCTGGGTTCAATTCCTGGTCGGGGAACTGAGATCCTAAGGAACTGAGATCTTAAAAGCCACGAGGCGAAGCCAAAAAATTTTTTTTAATTTCTGCTTTTATATTAAAATAGAAACCAAGGGAACCTCTATTGTTGATTCTGTTCTACACAATTTCCTTTTTTTTCTTTGTGGAAGGAGGCTCACCATCCAAAATGAAGGACTAGTGCTTACTGCAAACCCTTTGTCTGAATTCTGGATCTCTGAAGACATGGTTATTTAACAACAACTGTGATGTCAGAGGGCTTGAGCTTTAGAAGAAAATGCCAGGATAATGCACCTTAAGGCAAACTGGTATGTGGAACTTCCCTGGTGGTCCAGTGGTTACGACTCCATGCTTCCACTGCAGGGTACTTGGGTTTGATCCCTGGTCCGAGGACTAATCTTGGGGGAGAAAAAGAAAGATAAAATAGTGTGGCAGGCAGCTGTTAAGGTGACCGCCTATAATCATGTATTCCTGGTGTTCAGACCCTACGAAATCCCCTTCACTTGAATATGAAGGAGATTTAGTGGATTCCTTCTAACAAAAAGTTGGAGAAAAACTAGGGCTTTTCAGTTCCAGGATTAGGTTACAAAAACTGTGGCTTTTGTATTGGATTGCCCACTTTCACTTACTTTGAAGAAGGCTAGCTGCCATGTTGTGAGCTGCCCTATGGAGAGGCCTACATGGCAGGGAACTGATGGCTCCAGCCACAAGGAGAACCTCATGGCCACCAATGAGCCTTGTGAATGAGCTTGGAAGAGGATCATCCTCCAGTCAAGCCTTGATATGACTGTAGCCCTGGTCAGTCTACCTTTTAGACATTGTTAGAAACCCTGTGCTTGAGACACTCAGTTAAACTGTACCAGACTCCTTTAACTCTTTTGTTGTTTAAGTCAATAAGTTTTTCGATAATTTGTTATGTAGCAATAGCTAACTAATACATATGACCCCCCCCCCCCCCGCCCCTCAGAAAAAAAGTACATTTCTCATTTCCTGTGATTTCCATGTACATTCAGAATTCTTTAAAGACAAATGCTGAAGTCAGGAACTAGTAGTATAGTCAATAGAAGTTGAATTTTTAAATGCTTCCCCCTCCCCAGATGATTTTCAGGCAGCCATTTAAACAAAACCAAGTGTCATTGAGGAGCTATCATCAAAGACAATGAAGAATGTCATCCTGAAAGAGTTCAGGTATAGAGAAATATTGCTCAAATATTTCAAAAATAGCTGTGGCCATTTCAACCACTACTTCAGAAAAGAAAGAAGGGGACTTCCCTAGTGGTCCAATGGTTAAGAATCCACCTTGAAGTGTAGGGAACACAGGTTCAATCCCTGGTGGGGGAACTAAGATCCCACATGCCTCCGGGCTACTGAGCCCACGTGCCACAGCTAGAGAGCCCACATGACACAACTAAGACCTGATGCAGCCAAGTAAATAATTTTAAAAGAAATGAAAGAAGTATCAAGTGAAAACCATATAAAGACTTTCAAACTTGGGAATCTAGTCCTGTGGATTCTCTACTTGCTTTCTGATTTTCAGTGACCCTTCAATGAGCCACATGGCCCTTTAATTTTCACCATAGCAATGATTAATCAAGTCTGAGGATTTGGAGATGAAAAAGTGATGTAGCCATGCAAACCAGAAATGAGAAGAGGGATTTGTGATCACTCAGTATAGCAGAACACATCAGATGATCCAGTATTTCCAGCAATTCACTTCCCTGCAATCATTTCTTTTCAGCTCTCTTCATTTGAACATGTTTAATGTATGATGATACATTATTCACTCAATACTCTTGATTTCACTTTCAAAAGCAGGAAGATTAATTCAAATCAAAACTAATGTGCACCCCCAAAATCCATCCTCTTCAAGTTTTTGCATAGACCAACCCTCATTTTAAAAAAAAAATGGAAAAAAAGAGCAGATGTAATTTCAAAAATAGGACCATGGCTAATTAAACCAGTGTTTTTTCCTAACCATGGTTACTCAGAATTCTTAGAGGCTAATCTATTTGTAGACACTCCAGGAATCCCAAAAGACTAAAGGCAATTAAAAAAGGAAAAAGTGCATGGTGTGATGCTTCCAGGAGGGCATTATTTACACACCTTGTGTGCAAAGTAACGACTTTCCCATAGGTTTGAAAAAACTGAGAGGGGTGTGACAAAATAGTAGGGAACACAGCAACATTATTTGAAAAGCTTTTAAATGAGCCATTTCCTCCACACAAGCACACTTTTGCTTGTTAAGTTGCTCGTTTTGTTTTACCTTGTGGGACAGAATAATGATGCAGTGACATTATTCACAAGGCAAGAGCTGGATGCCAGCTGAAATAGACACAGAAGAAAGAATTCTTTATTTTTCACTGGAAATGCTTGTGCTATGCAGAGCCAGAAATTTAAAGAAACTCAGCCTTTGATTTTTTCTGGTTCTCCCTTTTTCTTTTCATTTACCCTCCTTTGGGGAGGTGAGTTTCGTAGACAGCCTGTTATTTCAGGGGCCACAGATTTATGGAAGGCCAAAGATGTGAGGTATGCACCATTTGGAGAATGCAGGAGGGGATTTAAAATGGATGCATGCAGCACCGGTGACAGCTGAGCTGGCCATTAGCATGCAGTCGTCTTAGTTTGCTACAGGATACTGTGAGCCCTACAATGGAACCCTAGAGGGATCAAACTATAATTAATACTGACATTGCTGACCTATGATCTTAGAAGAGGGACTTGGATTCTCATTTGGAAGTAGATCAGATACTCACTGTCTTCCTTAAGCCCCCATATTTTCTTTTCCATAAGGTAAGCTGGGGCTTGAGAATGATAATGATGTTAATAAATGCGGTCCCTTCTATAGCACATACCATGTCCCAGCTCTGTTCTAGGTTCTTTCTATACAATAACTTACTTAATCCTCACAGCGATCCATTCATTCTCATTGGGAGGGGAGAATTTTGCTTCACCCCCTAGAGGACACTGGTATTTTTGGATATCACAATTGAAGGGGAAATGCTACTGGCATCTTGTGGGTAGTGACCAGGGATGCTGCTAAACACCCTACAATGCACAGGACAGCCCCAACCAGAGAATTATCCAGCCCTAAATATCAGTAGTGCTGAGGTTGGTTGACAAACCCTGCAGTCACCCTATGAAGTAAACAGGATTATTATATTCCCATTTGATAGATGAGGAGACTGAAGTATGGAGAATTTAAGTCACCTTGCCTGAAGTCAGACTCATTAAATGACAGACCTGGGATTTAAAACCAGGCAGTGTGTCTCCCAACATCTGGACTCTAAACCACTTTGCTATTTGAAATAGTGATGGCCCAAGCTGGCTGTCTTGGAAAAATAAACTAATCTCCTTGGTTTCATCAAATACAAACTTCTAGAGAGTTAGCACCACAGATTACTGTTTCTTGATTAGAGAAATAACTGGCTATTGTAAAAGTCACCATCTGCAGGAGACAAGCTGGCAGTGCCTATCAAAACTGAAACTGCACCTTTCTCTTGACCCAACAAGGGTGAAAAGATTTATGTACAAGGATAATCACTGCAGTGTTGTTTGGAACAAAAAGTAGAAACTCCCATCAGTGGCAGACAGTTAAATGCCTTGTAGGGTATCCCAAATACAGTGAATAAAACATTCTCAGCTGTTCAATGAAAGACGTAGATCTTTGCATTGATCTGAAAGGATCTTTAAGATCTATTGTTAAAAAAAAAGAAAAAAGGCAACTATGTGAGGTGATGGATATGTTAATACACTGAACTGTACTAATCACTTTGGAAAGTCTACATATATAAAGTCATCTTGTACACTTTAATTATGTACAATTTTATTTGTCAATTATATCTCAAAAAAGCTGAGGGGAAGCCAAAGACGGTTGTTAAGCCAAAAAGCAGAAAATTAAAAAATGAAACAAAATAACAAAACATAAATGTGTAAGATATTTTGTATGATGTAGAAAGGGAAAGATATAAGCATCTGAATGCAGAGTTCCAAAGAATAGCAAGGAGAGATAAGAAAGCCTTCCTCAGTGATCAATGCAAAAGAAATAGAGGAAAACAGTAGAATGGGAAAGACTAGAGATTCTTCAAGAAAATTAGAGATTCCAAGGGACCATTTCATGCAAAAATGGGCTCAATAAAGGACAGAAATGGTATGGACCTAACAGAAGCAGAAGATATTAAGAAGCGGTGGCAAGAAGACACAGAAGAACTGTACAAAAAAGATCTTCACCACCCAGATAATCACGATGATCACCCAGATCACTCACCTAGAGCCAGACATCCTGGAATGTGAAGCCAAGTGGGCCTTAGGAAGCATCACTCTGAACAAAGCTAGTGGAGGTGATGGAATTCCAGTTGAGCTATTTCAGATCCTGAAAGATGATGCTGTGGAAGTGCTGCACTCAATATGTCAGCAAATTTGGAACACTCAACAGTGGCCACAGGACTGGAGAATGTCAGTTTTCATTCCAATCCCAAAGAAAGGCAATGCCAAAGAATGCTTAAACTACTGTACAATTGCAGTTGTCTCACATGCTAGCAAAGTAATGCTCAAAATTCTCCAAGCCAGGCTTCCGCAATACGTGAAGCGTGAACTTCCAGGTGTTCAAGCTGATTTTAGAAAAGGCAGAGGAGCTCTTTTTCGTGGCGCCTCGGAGGCTGTCAGCCACTTCAGAATGAAGCTGAACATCTCTTTCCCGGCCACTGGCTGCCAGAAGCTCATTGAAGTGGACGATGAACGAAAACTTCGTACCTTCTACAAGAAGCGTATGGCCACAGAAGTTGCTGCTGACGCTCTGGGTGAAGAATGAAAGGGTTATGTGGTCCGAATCAGTGGCAGGAACGATAAGCAGGGTTTCCCCATGAAGCAGGGTGTCTTGACCCATGGCCGAGTTCACCTGCTACTGAGTAAGGGGCATTCCTGTTACAGACCAAAGAGGACTGGAGAGAGAAAGCGCAAATCTGTACGGGGTTGCATTGTGGATGCCAATCTGAGTGTTCTCAACTTGGTCATCGTGAAAAAAGGGGAGAAGGATATTCCTGGACTCACTGATACCACAGTGCCTCGTCGCCTGGGTCCCAAAAGAGCTAGCAGAATTCGCAAACTTTTCAATCTCTCTATAGAAGATGATGTCCGCCAGTATGTTGTGCGAAAGCCCCTAAACAAAGAAGGTAAGAAACCTAGGACTAAAGCACCCAAGATTCAGCGTCTCGTGACTCCACGAGTTCTGCAACACAAACGCCGGCGTATTGCTCTGAAGAAACAGCGTACTAAGAAAAACAAAGAAGAGGCTGCAGAATAGGCTAAACTTTTGGCCAAGAGAATGAAGGAGGCCAAAGAAAAACGGCAGGAACAGATTGCCAAGAGACGGAGGCTGTCCTCTCTGAGAGCTTCTACTTCTAAGTCTGAGTCTAGTCAAAAATGAGATGTTCTAAGAGTAACAAATAAATAAGATCAGACATCAAAAAAAAAAAAAAGAAAAGAAAAGGCAGAGGAATCAGAGATCAAATTGCCACCATCCGCTGGATCATCAAAAAAGCAAGAGAGTTCCAGAAAAACATCTATTTCTGCTTTATTGACTATGCCAAAGCCTTTGACTGTGTGGGTCACAATAAACTGGAAAATTCTGAAAGAGATGGGAATACCAGGTCACCTGACCTGCCTCTTGAGAAACCTGTGTGCAGGTCAGGAAGCAACAGTTAGAACTGGACATGCAACAACAGACTCAAAGGAAAAGGAGTACGTCAAGGCTGTATATTGTCACCCTGCTTATTTAACTTATATGCAGAGTACATCATGAGAAACACTGGGCTGGAGGAAGCACAAGCTAGAATCAAGATTGCCAGGAGAAATATCAATAACCTCAGATATGCAGATGACACCACCCTTATGGCAGAAAGTGAAGAAGAACTAAAGAACCTCTTGATGAAAGTGAAAGAGGAGAGCAAAAAGTTGGCTTAAAGCTCAACATTCAGAAAACTAAGATCATGGCATCTGGTCCCATCACTTCATGGCAAATAGATGGGGAAACAGTGGCTGACTTTATTTCTGGGGATTCCAAAATCACTGCAGATGGTAATTGCAGCCATGAAATTAAAAGACTCTTATTCCTTGGAAGGAAAGTTATGACCAACCTAGATAGCATATTAAAAAGCAGAGACATTACTTTGCCAACAAAGGTCCATCTAGTCAAGGCTATGGTTTTTCCAGTAGTCATATATGGATGTGAGAGTTGGACTATTAAGAAAGCTGAGCACCAAAGAATTGATGCTTTTGAACTGTGGTGTTAGAAAAGACTCTTGAGAGTCCCTTGGACTGCAAGGAGATCCAGCCAGTCCATCCTAAAAATCAGTCCTGAATATTCACTGGGAGGACTGATGTTGAAGCTGAAACTCCAATACTTTGGCCACCCAATGGGAAGAGCTGACTCATTTGAAAAGACCCTGATGCTGGGAAAGATTGAAGGCGGGAGAAGAAGGGGATGACAGAGGATGAGATGATTGGATGGCATTACTAACTCAATGGACATGAGTTTGAGTAAACTCCAGGAGTTGGTGAGGGACTGGAAGGCCTCGTGAGCTGCAGTCCATGGGGTCACAAAGAGTCAGACACAACTGAGTGACTGAACTGAGCTGATCCCTTTTTGCCATGTGTATACTATTTTCTGCTGAAGTGCCATATTAGTCAAACATAGGAGCTGCAGAAGCAGGTAGAACCTTTACTCCTTCCACCTGTACAGAGTCCATCTGTATGTGGCAGGAACTTAATAAACCCAAGTTGATTTATTTTGATAGAGACTTATTCTCAGTTTATTTATGTTTGCTTCTTTGAACCTGAAATGGCATATGCTTTCTATTCATACCTGCTAATGGCTACCAGCCATGGGCCATACTGATGGCCTTTAATGACCAAGGTCACCACCTAATGACCCAAGCATTTCTAGGCAGTGAGGGGGGACCATTGATGGAACAGCCAGACTTCCTTATCCACATATCTCCATCATATGTGGTTTGCACATTTGCATTCACTCACTGAATAAAGCTAACTTCTCTTCCAGTTATTAGCTTGATGTGGTCTTATAAGCACTGGAGCCAAGAAACCATGAGGGAGGGACCTTTTGGGGAACTATTCTAAGTCACCAGCCTTCTGCAGGCTTGAAGGAGGTCAGAGCTGAGGCCCTATGAGAGTTGGTTTCACTCTTCTTTGATCAGGGTTCTCTTACATTGCACGTGTGGCTCATTTCTGTCATCGGAGAGTCAATAAAGGACAAATCTTCATGCAGCAATAAGCAATTGATAGGCTTCTGGTATCCTGGAAATGACACAGAAATCCTGTTACTGCAATTTCTGATGATCTAGACACATGATTTTTTTTTTTAAGTTACATAATCCTTTTAAAGACATCTTGAGTATTTGTGTATCAGTCAGTATTCCCTGTGTAACAAACCACTCCCAACATAGTGTCTTGAACAATAAACTTTTAGAAATTTCTTAAGATTGTATGGGTAGATGGACTTGCCTAGAGGTGTTGGTATAGTGGATAGGAATTGCCTGCCAGTGCAGGGGATATGGGTTCGATCTCTAGTCCAGGAAGATTCCACATGCCATGGACAACTAGGGCCCATGAGCCACAACTACTGAGCTAGCACACCACCACTGCAACTACTGAAGGTCAAGCATCTAGAGCCCATGTTCCGCAGCAAGAGAAACCACCACAATGAGAAGCCCAAGCAACACAACTAGAGAGTAGCCCCCACTCACAGCAACTAGAGAAAGCCCTCGCTCGCCCAGCAACAAAGAGCCAATGCAATCAAAAACTAAAATTAAAAAAAGATTGTACGGTTGACTGAATAATTCTTCCATTCTGGGCTGGCTTGACTGGGGTTGGATGGTATAGGATGGCCTCACTGACATGTCTGGCAGTTGGCTCTATGTCAGCTGCAGATGATAAGGACAACTGGCCATGTGTCTATCAACTGTACTTCAATTAAAAGAAGAAAAGTGAAATCATACAGATAAATAAAAATAAATGCATAAAGTGTGTGCAGTTCATTGGTTTTTAGTATATACAGAGTTGTATAACCATCACTAGAGTATCATTTTCGAACATTTCATTGTCCCCCAAAGAAATCTAATACACATTAGCAATCACTCCATCCCCCCACTTCCCCCAGTCTCTAGCAGCCACTAGTTTACTTTCTGATACTTGGGCTATTTCTTTTTTATTGTGGTAAAATATATATAACATAAAATTTGCCCCTTTAACCATTAAAAAAAATGTATTTGGCTGCACCAAGTCTTAGTTGCAGCACATGCAATCGTTGTTGCAGCATGTTCTTAGTTCTCTGACCAGGGATCAAACCCAGGCCCCGTGTATTGGGAGCACAGAGTCTTAACCACTGGAGGGAAGCCCCCATTTTAACCATTTTTAAATGTGCAATTCAGTGGCATCAAATACACTCACATTATTGTCCAACCATCACCACCATTTACCTCCAGCACTTTTTCATCATCCCAAACTGAACTCTGCCCATTTAACACTAACTCTCCATTTCCTCCTCCCCTGGCCCCTGGTAACCACCAGTCTACTTACCGTCTCTGATTTTGACTACTTTCATACTTCATATAAGTGGAATAATACAGTATTTGTCCTTTCATGTCGGGCTTCTTTTAGTGTCTTCAAGGTTCATACATGTTATAGAGGTGTCAGAATTTCCTTCTCTCTGTTGCTCTATTTTTTTTTCCTTTGGTCACACTGCAAGGTAGGGATTGAACCCACGCCCCCTGCATTGGAAACAGAGTCTTAACCACCAGACTGCCAGGGAAGTCCCTTTCCTTCTCTTTTGAGGCTGAATAGTCCCCTAATGTGTGGATAGATTATATTTTAACTAAGGCTATCTTATGCCAAGGTTTGAGAGTGGTTTTTCTAGACTGACCTCTGGTAATTAAGTACTAGACTCATTCACACATCTCCATCTCCTTCCAAACAAAAAATAAGACTTAGTCTGAGCTTACCCCCTTTGTATCCTATGTGACTCAGGGAGAGCAAGGCAGGAGAGGTTCCAGGGAAGGGAGAGGTGACGGGGTGTAAAGTGGCCTGTTCCTGCATGTCTCCTTCAGGGCCAGGCCCTCTGACCTTTGCCACTTTGGGCCAGAGAGGCTGTGGGTGTCCTGGCTTTCAAAATATTTTGTTCCATGTTCTACATGCAGATAGGAGTGACTCAGGTGAGAGGCCCGCTCCCAGTGGCCAAACACAGGCATGGCTGGTGCCAACTGGGCCTCTTGAGAAAACCCTCCATAGCCAGGAACTGAAGAGGCATGTTCAAAACTCTCAACCCCCAACGAAAGCCTGGCATTCGTGAGCTGCTTCAGCTCCAGGAGCAACCTCCATGAACTGCTTTTGAATAGGCTGACCTGAGGATTGTGCAAGGAGGTTCACATGTTGTTGATTGTTCTTTGTAATAGTGACACCCTCATTTGCCTCCACTGTGTGCTGCTCACACTCACCTCTACCACCTTTATTCTGCACTAGTGTTGGAGCAGAATGACCAAAAATATACAAACCATAACTTGCCTTTCTCATTGCAAAGGATAAGGGAGCATGAAATAACAGAACCATCCTCTACTAGGAATTCATCCAACAAATAACAAGGGTTGATCTTTTGATCTGTATTAATACGCTCTGACAAGCTCTCTTCTAAGTACTTCAGATAAATGATATCATTTAATCTTCACAATCCACTCTTTATTTTTTATTGTATAAAGTTTACCAAAAAAATTGACCTTCCTTTTTTTGGTGGTACTGTGTGGCATACGGGATCCTAGTTCCTTGACCAGTGGAAGCATGCAGTCTTAACCATGGGGTGTTGGACCACCAAGAAAATCCCTCCAAATTAACCATTTTAACCATATTTAAGTGTCCAGTTCATTGGCATCAGGTCCATTCACATTGTTTTATAACCATCAGTGCTATCTGTTTACAGGGCTTTTTCATCATCCCAAACTGATACCTGGTACCCATTTCCCCTCCCACAAGCCCTTAACACCTACCACTTTTTCTGTCTCTATAAATTTGCCTGCTCTAGGGACCTCACCATGCAGTATGTGACTTTCTACATTCTTCTTTCACTTAGATGATGTCTTTAAGGTTCATTCACATTGTAGCATGTGTCAGAACTTCATTCTTTTTGAAGCCAAATAATATTCCATTGTGTATATATCATAGCCCACTCTTCCCCCCGCCGCCCCCCATATTTCAGAGGAGAAAACTCAGTCACGAAGTTTAAGTAACTCACTCAAGGGG